CGGACCGGGAGGACCTGGCAGCTTGCTTTCTCGCTTTCTCTCTCTCTCCCTCTCACTCTCATCAAACTGGAAAATAATCATAATAAATAAAGTTAAATATTTTTAAAAAACTGCAGAAATGAAATGGCACGAAGAATATCAACATACTCTTTACCCAGATTTTCTTATTGTTAACATTTTATCCCATTTGCCTATTACTTTTTTCGATCTATTTATCTATGTCATCTAAATTCTTGAACTATTTGAGAGTAAGTTGCACATATTAGTACTGTTGCTCCTAAATACTTTGTAGTATATTTATTAGTCATAGAAATAATCTTTTTTTAAAAAAATTATTTAATTTAATGAATTTATTTATTTTAATTTGACCAGAAATGGACAGAGTGAGCGAGAGCAAGAGAGATGGAAAGTGAGAAAGCAAACCACCAGGTCCAGGACTTGAACTGTGGTTGGCCTGTGGGAGTCCAGTGCCTTTATCACCAAGCCACCTGCCAGCCCCAGTTATAGGAATAGCCTCTTACATACCACAGTATAGTTAACAGCTTTAGTAAATTTGTATTAGTACAATATTTTTTGTTACCTAGCATCCATTTTCTAGTTTTGTCACTTGGCCCAATAATGTCTTCTGTAGCATATTCTTCCCCTCCCAGAAAGGATCTAGTCTAGAATGAGGAATTTCATTTCATCGTTATGTCTCTTCAGCCTCATTTAATCTGGAACATTTCTACAGCAGTTCCTTTTTTTTTTTTATAACAATGGATGTTTTATAAATTTTAAAACAGAAATAGGGTTATTTCACACAGCAGTTAAGAACGTAGGCTCTGTGGTGGCCCCATAACCTGTGGTTAAGGAAATCATATCTCACATGACCAACCACAGTTCTAATCACAGCATATGTGCCCAAGATCCTGAGGGGATGGAGAAATGAGAGACAAAGGATTATGGTGTGAACACACCCAATTGAAGGGTGTTTTCTCCCTTCCTGTGTATCTCTTTCTGGTAAGTACACAAATTGTACCTTCAGCCAGAAAAATAATAAAAGAAGACATAGGCTCTGAAGCCAGGCTGGTTATATTATTGATAGAATCCTATCTCTAGTATCAATTAGCTGTGTAACTTTAAACAAGTTTGTCTCTCAGCTTTCTCATGAAACCTAGAGCTGATAATATTATTCATAAGGCTGTTGGGAAGCATGAGTAAGTTGATACACATATAACATTTGGAACAGTGCTTAGCACATAGTATATGCTCCATTTGTTAGCTATAATTAGTAGTATAATTCCAATGCCAAATTGAGTGCACCAAAATTTACTGAGTACCTCTTTCTTTTAAAATTTTTTGCCAGAGGACACATGCCTTGGCCAGAGAGACAGTGAGAGAGGGAAAAGGAGAAAGCACTCCTTATACAGAATGATCATGCCAAAATCCCTTCTCCATTTCTCCTTCTTGTTGGGATTCTAGGCATACATGCACATACACCTGATGGGCCTTTCAAGCCACAGGGTTAAGGACTTGAACCTCATGGTGGGCCATATAGGATCTGACTGCCTTAACCACTAGGTCATAGGCTGGCCTCCATAGTTTCTCTTATATGAAAAGTATTTTACTAAGACCAAGTCATAATTACTTCACTAATAACAGAGTCATAGAACACTGAAATTAAAATGGCTAAAAGATCATTGTTTTTCATTTTTCTTTGTATCACACACAGATCCTTGAAAATCTGGAAGTCCCATTCAACCCAACACTGTAGTGGGTTGAATAATGTTCCCCAAAATGATATGTTTATTTCCTAATCCCCAGAACCTATGAAGGTGTCCTTATTTTTAAAGAGTGTTTGCAAATGTGATTAAATTAAGAATCTTGAGATGTGGAAATCCTCTTGGATTATCAAATGGCCCCTAAATATAATGACAAGTATCATTACAAGAAGCATACAAAGGAACAGAAGAAGAGGAGGAAGCAGTATGAAGATGGAGGCAGAGAGGAGAGTGACTTGGTCACAAATTAAAGAATGATGATAGCTAATAGAAGTAATAGAAGCTGAAAGAAGCAAGGAACAGATTCTCCCCTAGAGTCTCTGGAGGGAGCTTAGCTTTTCTTTTTTTCAATTTTCTTTTTTTTTTTTAATTAAAAACTTTTTTATTTTTGAGAGGTTTTTGCTATAGGGTGTGTGCGCTCGCCGGACAGACAGAGAGAGACAGAGAGACAGAAAGCAGGAAATCACCGGTGGCCACGCTGCAATCCCTTCTCCTCCATTCTCCTCTCGGGATCTTGGGCACGCACGCACGCACACGCACCTGGTCTAAGTTTAAGCCACCGGGTCCGGGACTCGAACCGCGGTCGACTAGGTGGGAGTCAAGCAACATAGCCATTACGCCAACTGCTAGTCTCTAAATTAAAAACTTTTTAAACATTTAGTTACTATACATCTTTACAGCACACAAAATGAACTTTTACCAGCATGAATACTCTGCACATTAGTCCAGTCAAAGATATTATCTTACACATTAACTTCAACAGATAATTTTCCATTTTCATGTCTGTTAAAAACACATGGAATGCTTCATGAATTTGCATGTCATCCTTATGCAGGGGCCATGCTAATCTCTGTATCATTTCAATTTTTTTAGTATATGTGCCACCGAAGCAAGCACGGAGCTTGACTTTTCTGACAATTTCTTACTTTTAGCCTTCAGAATTGTGAGAATAAAGTTTTATTTGAAATCACCAACTTTGGTGGTAATTTGTTACAGCAGCCATAGGAAATGAATACAAGCACTTGTGCAAACTCACAATGGTGCAGATTTTAGTAAGTCTAGCTTCCAGGTGGAGAGCCTCTGCTCTCATCCCACTTTATCATTTTGTGATTTACTTATCAAGAACCAGAGACTTGGGTAGACTGATAGCTAGGAATTGAACTAGGAGGAAGGAGGGCTGGTAGTGGCAACCCAAAGGCCCTGATGTGAGATGGAATATGACCCATACATAGCATATCAAGGGGTAGGGCTGAAACATTTTTTTTTTCTTTTTTTGGAGAGGTGTTTTTTTTTGTTTGTTTGTTTGTTTTTTGGTTGTTTTTTGTTTTGTTTTGTTTTGTTTTGTTTTGTTTTGTTTTGTTTGGTATAGGGCGCATGCGCTCGCCAGACAGAGACAGAGAGACAGAAAGCGAGAAATCACCCACCCCCCAGGGGG